AGTGATTGAATTAGTGAAGCAGTCGCAAAGTTCACTTCAGCAAAAGACTCAGGGCTTGATCTTCCTTCCTCTGCCACCAGTGGCAACATCCCCACTGGAGTTCCAGTGGAAGCAGGAGCAGAGCTGCAGAGCTGACACCTTGGACAGCACTAAGTTATCAGCCTGAGAAAATAGGAGTGAAGCTCAGTGGAAAGCCACGTGAATCCATTCCCTGTGTCCTGTCCCTCCATCCCTTGTCCCCAGTCCCTCTCCAGCTCTCCTGGAGCTCCTTTAGGCCCTGCCAGGGGCTCTCAGGTCTCCCTGGAGCCTTCTCTTCTCCAGGTGAGCCCCCCAGCTCTCCCAGCCTGTTCCAGAGCAGAGGGGCTCCAGCCCTGGGAGCAGCTCCGTGGCCTCCTCTGGACTCTCTCCAGCAGCTCCAGGTCCTTGTGCTGTTGTTCCCAGGGCTGGAGCAGCTCTGCAGGAAAACAAAACAGCAATCTCCAAGGAGAAAGATGTGATCATCCCCCCAAACCCCCTGTCCTATGGCACCAGGGCAGACAGATAATTCTCTTAAGGGGTTAAGGTAGCAGAGTTCCTATGGGTCCTGCTGCAAATAACCTGTAGTCTACTTGAGAAACAAAAGATGGAGCAGAAACCAGGAGATTCAGTATCTCCTACCCTGTGTGGTGGCAGCCACTTGCTTAGTGGGCTGTCCAATATGTAAAAAAAAAAACCAACAAACCCACTTGTGGGAAACAGCCTGATTTTCCTGGCATTTAAGGTATTTGGTGTTTGTGTTTCCTGAGCAATCTGGGTTAGATAACAACCCCACCTCGGGCTTGTCACTGTTGCTCTCTGGTGCTCTGCTCTGAGCCCTGGCAGGGAGTGTCTCTGTGTTTCTGTGTTCCCCGAGTGAATTTACAAACACCGTGTTGTTTAGCAAACTTTTCTGGCGGTGTCTCCTCCTGCCAGCCTGGAAATGGAACTGCCTCACCTGAATGGCAGACCCTTGAGCTGTTTGGGGCTTTGGGGGCCAGCTCCTTGCTGATTCCAAGGCTTTTCCTCTCGGCTTGGTGGAACCTTCTGCTGTTGGAAGGTGTGGGTTACCCCTGGGGTTTTTTTTAAGTTCCCTTAAATGCCAAGGAGTCTTGTTTGGCCAGAAGATGGACGATGTGTAAAACATCTCTTGAAGCTCCTGGCTGACCCACAGGAGCTTCCAAAGGGTGGGTGACAACTCGCCACCACGATTTTTTTCGGCTCAGGACTGATAACAAAGACAAGCAGCAGTTTAAACCTCACTGGCCAGTGCTTTGTTAGGGAGAAGTGCCCTGACGGGAGTCTGGCCCCACCACCTCGTGGTGGCTTTTTCTGCTGAATAAAGCCTTGGGGACTCACCAACAGTGCAGACAAAACCCCCTCCAGACCAGAAAAGGGGGTTGCAAGTGGTGTCGATGAGCCCTGGGGTGGCTGGGTTTGTCCCCAGCAAGGGGCTTGGTGACACCCCGGGGGTTAATGAGAGCCCGGGACAGATGGAATAAACAGCCTGGGATTTACCAGCAGCCTGGTAAACAAGGACTTTCACAGCTAACCCCCCCCAGCCCCCTGTATTGCCTGGGGTTGGGGTTGGGGAGGATGGAGATGCTTTAAGAAAAAAGCTTCTGGCATCAGCAGCCACGAAGAGCTTGTGAGTTTGCAAATTGCTTCCAAGCCTTGTTAATCCCCGCTCAAATAGGAAGCTTTGTAAGCTCAGCCCTCCTTTCTCGGCAGCCGCTCTCAGGAAAGCCCCTCCGACCTGGAATAATGCGGAGCTTGGCTTAGGCGAGGCTTAAAGCACGGCCAGGAAAACCGGGGATGGTGTCAGAGCACCCTCGGTTTTCAGGGGTTTCCCCGTAAATCCAGCGTTCCCCTCGGGATATTTGCCGGGAGCTGGGAGGAGGATGAAGAAAGTGGCGATTCGAAACAGAAACGCAGAAAACAATTGAAATGTGAACAATGCAGAGCCCGTTGCTGCTCGCACAGGAGTCGCTGCATGAAGTCACTGTGTCCCGGCGTGTTTTTAAATAGATATTCAGTGGGTAGATGTTTTGGTTCTCTCGGGGGCTGTCTGAGATTCACCAGCAGTGTTAATTAGCTAGTGCTGAACGGTGTGCAGTTTGCCAGTCAAACTTTAGGCTGTGGGCTCCTTTTCTGGAGTATCACAAGTGCCACTGAACACTGAATTATGGCCTATTTATAAAAGCTTTAAATAGGAGAGTTTTCATGTTTTTGACCTCACTCTGCTTTGTAAAGATCAGTTAAATGGGTTTGGTTTCTGTCAGATCAGGGAAATTTGCTTCTCAGCCAGGCTCCCATGAATGCTTTTTATGTTTTATTACTTCTATAACATCTATATATCAGAAACAAAAGACAGATGTGAGTCCCCACCTACTCTCGAGATCAGAAAAATCTGCCCCTTTCAGGACTGGGTTTTTTTTTTCATAGAAAGCATCACAGTAATAACAGCACATCATCCCCCAGGAACCTCAGGGAAGTAACAGTTGAGAGTCCTACAGGCTCCACCTTAACAGTTTAGAGAATTTGTTCCACAAATCCACACCTCTTACTTCTCAAAGTAGTGGCAAAGCAGAGCAGGGTGTCCAGTCAACCTGGGCATTCATCCTGAGGAGAAAAGAGGGGAAGGAAGGAAGGCAAAACCCCGCAGTTCCGCTAAGTAGTGAAATCCCAAAGTCCTGAGTGAGCAGAGCGAGCTGGAAAATCCTCCTTGGCGCTGCTGAGAAGCGGTGACATCCCTGATGGAGATGTGCCCTCTCCTGGCGGCCCCGGGAAAGCCTGGAGGGACACAGGAAGCGGGAAGTTTTGGGAGCCTGTGCCACTCTGCTGAAATAGTAGTGGGATAATAAATGAGAGGCCTGATTGGGACGGATTGACAGACAGCACTCCAACTTCTGCTCCCTGACTAAGCCAAACGGTTGGAATGGTTAAAATCTTTAACGAAATAAGGTGCGTTTTGCTGTCCTTAAGACACTTTCCTGCAGCTCCGTTCAGGGACACAGTGGCATTTGGACATTTCTGGCACAGCTAAACAGTTGAGTCAGAAAAGCAAAAGTGCATCTCTGTCTTTGACTTTCTTCTCTGAACCTTCTGTTTGCCACACTGAGAGGTCTGGGGAGTTTTCTCTCAGTGTACAAAAGATTTAGGACGAATCTTCTCTGCCATCCTATGTAAGCAGAAGCCCTCAGGGATCAAGGAAAAAAAAATAAAAATGCAGCTTTCACGGCAGCAGAGAGCGAAAAAAAAAGGGGATCTTACCTGATTTGTGTCCTGGCAGTAAAGACAGAGCCTTGTGCTATAGAACTGTACAGGTTTGGTCTCTTGGGTGGCTGGGCTGGGCTTGCAGTTCCTGGTGATTTAAAAGCAAACACGATTGTGTGTTTATTTTCAAACACTCTGCTCCTCCAGCCGTGGGTGATTCATTACCCCAAAGATCAGACCATAGGTGTTTAAGCATTTTCCAGGCCCGGGGACATTATATTTCTAACTCTGCAGACCAGAAAGATGGCAGTGAGCAGGAACAGCACCTGGCTGTCCCCCCAAAAAAACCCACTACCACCATCAGCACGTCACCTGGGGAAGAACCTGGACATTGAATTACCTGCATCTGAAGGAAAAAAAAAAAAAACAAAAACCCAACCAAAAAATCCCCTGCAGGCCACAGGCACAGAGGTGAACAACAACAATAACACTGGGAGAGTGCTGGTGTCATTGTAATTATATTAACAGTAGCTGTTTGATACTATTTTTATTGGAATGCTAAACCAATCCATGACACTTCCACATCGCAGCTCTTGACTCCCTCCAAGAGGAGCCAAGTGTTCATTTCAAGTGTCTCAGTTCTTGCAGGTCATGTGGATGTTGAGTTAAAAAAAAATACCTCTTGTTTTCTTCCTGTTGTTCTTTTCCCACTGAGAATTTTGGCTGTTTTTCGGTGACTTTCTCTTTTCAATTATGGGCTGTGTTTTCTGCCACCTTCTCCTGCCCTGAAGACTTGTGAGAAAGGGTTTCCAAGGACCTGCTGCCTCATTCATCTGCACTCCAGTGTTTCCCCTCACCCCCATACGAACACATTTTGGGAGAATAAACATTTTCTACTCCAGAAACAGCCTGCTGTGCCTTTCCCCTCCAGCAGCTGCATCTGCCAGTTGGAATGTGATGTTCAGACCCCTGGAACCAACAGCAGCTCAGGTGCTTCGCTCCCTCTGGAATCACACATCTATTCTCCTCGTGCTCCCTCCCACAGTGCCATGCCTCCTGTCAGGAATTATGTGCCAGTTTTCTCTCCTTCACCTTCTGTTCCTTCTCCTCTGGCATGTTCCTCGACCCTGTCAGCTGAAGAGGAGAGAGGCCTGGCTGGAGGCAGTTTTCCAGCGGGTGGATTCCCAGAGCTCAAGTGTGGAAGACACCGAAACCCCAGGGGTTCCTTGGCAAAAGGTCCAGTCCACTTTCCACTCCTCCAGAGGAGAAGGCCACCTTTAGTCGTGGAAGAAGCCTCTTTCGTTGTCTGTGATCCCACAGGGATCCCAAGCTGCTGATCTGGGAGCTGCAGTCAGGAGGTTTCTCCTGTCTCACAGCAGCACAGCCATAAGAGCATCTCCACTTTTCTCGCTCCTTTCCTACTAATTCACAGCTTTTATTACCAAACCAAACACTGAATCCAGGGCCTTGGAACATCAAGGATCTCATTAGGGGAGCTGTGAGAGAGAAGTGGGGGGAACAGGGATTGTTTTCCTTGGTTAGATGGATCAGTGCTGATGGAAACACTGGAGAACACGTGGTGCTGAGTGGATCCAGGGCAGGAGCACCGCCCTTGGTTTGGTTAATTGTTTTCCTTTGCTCAGAAGCCTCGGCACAATCCTCTCTCCAGAGCAGCAGGAGAAGAGGGAGTCTGGTCTCAATCCAGCAGTGCATCCATGGAAGGAGGGGAACAGCTTAATGACCAGTGCTTGTACTACACATGAAAATCAGACCAAAGGAACACTGAAACGGACTTTATTGAGCTGCAGCAGGGAGGTGTTCAGGGAGGAGAGGGGGAAGGTCAGTGTTCCTCAGGCACCAGAGCGTTTTTCAGGACCGTTTTCAGCTCGGGGCTGAGGCTCTTGGGGAAGCAGATGTTGAAGTAGATGAGGAGATCCCCCTTCTGCTCGGGGTCCTGGGGCAGTGGCATTCCCTCCCCGGGAACCACCTTGCAGTATCTGGGGCTGAGAAGAAAAGGAAGGGGCTGAGAGGAGCCCTGAGATGATCCCAACATGGGGACCCCCAACTGCAGAGCCCCCCCCGGGGGTGTCTTAAGGTCCAGTCCAACTGGATACTTTTCCTCCTCTTTCAGGCTCCACCATCCACCCTCATCTCCCTTGTGACTCCCAAAAACCACCCCAGACCAGCTGAGTCACCCCCTGTGGGCATCCCCCTCCTCCTCCTCCTCCTGCAGCCCCAGACCTGCCGGGAAAGGCTTGGGAGGTTCCTCGGAGCGCCCCCGTTCTCACCAGGATCCACGGAAAAGCCCCGTTTCCTCACGGCACTTACTCCACGATGTCGTTGATGGGGATGTTGAGCAGCCTCCCATCCAGCGTCCACACATCCAGGGTGCATCCCGTCAGTGCCTGCCGGGCACGGAGCGGCACCGGGAGCTGCTCCTGCAGCCCCAGGGGTTTAGAGGTGGAGCTCCCTCCCTTCCCTTCGGATCTTTACCTTTCCCAGCGGGATTGAGGCAACGTAAATGAGGTTGTTGTCAACCCTTCTAAACCTTGAGTGAAGCTTCTCTTGGACAACAAAGATGATGTCGGCCGGAATGACGTTGGGGCCCTAAAATTGAGGGGGGAAAAAAGAGATCATGGAATCGCAGGATGGGGGGGGAAGGGATAATAAAGCTCATCCAGCTCCACTCGCCTTCCACAGACACTCCACACCTTCCACCAGACCAGGTTGCTCCAAGCCCCATCCAACCTGGCCTTGCAAACCTGGAAACGATTTCACACAGGGAAAGCTGACAGAAATTCCTGCTCTTTTGCTGCCGCTTGCAGCTGGAGAAGGGAAAGGTATTTTCTTTCTTTAAAGGAAAAAGGAATCTTTCCTCAGGGAAATCAAACTGGGCTTCCCAAGTGTCAGGCAGGAAACCACCCCTTCCAATTATTGCTTTTAATCAGAGGAAAATCCAGGCAGGAATGGCTCCTCAGAGTGTTTCCGAGCACAGGAACGCTGGAATTGCTCCCCTGGTTGTGCTGCCAAGTGCCCTCAGCAATGGGAAACCAGACCTTCGTGTCACGGGAGAACTACTTTCCATGGAGGGTGAGGTTCCTTCCAGCCCTAAGAACCCTGGGATCCCGGGCTCACCTGGTCTCCTTCCTTCTCAAAGGTGATCCTGGTGCCACGCTTCCATCCCGGCTGCACGTCGATGGTCAGGATCTTATCCCTGATGGTGCTGGTCTGGCCGTCCTCGTTCATCACCTGGGGAAGACACAAAGAGGGAGGGAGGGTCAGGACTGCTCAAATCCCCTGGCGCAAACCAGCAGAGAACAGGGAAAGGATGGATTATAGTCCATGGTGGCTCCAGAACTGTGGGATCACTGAGGTTGGAAAAGCCCTCTGAGACCATCCAATCCAACTGTCCCCAGCACTGCCAAGGCCACCACTAACCCCTGTCCCCAAGTGCCACATCCACACATCCTCCAGGAATAGGGACTCCAGCACTGCCCACAGCCCATTCCAGTGTCTGACCACTCTTTCAGGGAAGGAATTTTCCCCAGTATCCAACCTGAACCTCCCCTGACCACAACCTTAGGCAGTTTCCTCTCGTCCTGGAGCAGGAGAAACCCGGGGCTGGATCCAGGAGACAAAGGGCACAAAGGAGACACAGCACGGCGTGAAAATGGAAATGTGGGAGCCCAGAACACGCCAGGCTCCTTCTTCCACCCACCTCCAAAATCAGCCCTTGCTTCCCACCAGCTCCTGCATCACCTGCCGTGCTGAATTCCCTTTGCCAAGCCAGGAGAGGAGGACGCTGTTCCGACTCCTGCTGGGAGTGGCACAGCCCCAAACCCTCAACATCCCCGGAGCCGCTGGGGAGAGCCCATCCCAAAATGCAGCTCCTCCACGGCCCTACCCTGCGGGAGATCTTGATCTTCTTGGTGCAGCCATGGAACAGATCCTCCAGGGACACGTAGAGGTCCCGGACGATGGGGGGGTCCTGCCGGAGTGCCCCCCGGCCCCGGGGCCCTCCGAAGGGCAGGAGCACCTCCGAGCCATCCTCGGCAAAGAATTCTGCAGGAGGGAGCACAGGGATGGCCCCTCCCTGGGGTCAGAGCTGGGGATAGGGGGCCTCTGAGGTCTTCACCTCCTTTCTTCTCCCTCCCAGAACCGCCTACAGATGGGGTCTGTGCCACCTCCCCCGAACCTCCCATCCTACCTGCAAAGGGGTTGTCCCCACCAAAGAACTCCTTGAAGGTTCTCTCGGGGTTGTTGTGGAACACGTATCCCACGCTCCAGGGGTTGTCGCTGGCCAGCTCCAGGGGGATGCCCCCCTTGAGCCCCTCTTCTCCAAACTTGTCGTAGATGCCTTTCTTCATGGCTTAGGGAACAAGGAGGGGTTGGGAATGGGGGGAGAGCCTCAGCCTGATGTCTGGGATCTGCTCGGGTAGAGGTGGGACAAGGGGATTCCCAGCAAGGGGTGGGATGGGTGTCAGAGTGTGTGCCAGCTCCCAGCTGGGCTGGGGGTCACACAGCTGGTGGCACCTCCCTGGGGTGCCAGGAAACACGGATTCACACCCGCTTCCAGCCCCTCCTGCCCCCAAAATCCGTGGAAGGGAAGGCCCCTCCCCACTTACGGTCGCTGAGCACATCGTAGGCCTCTGCCAGCTGCCGGAACCTCGAGGGTCCCCAGGGCTCCTTGCATTTCAGGGGGTGGTACAGCAGGGCCAGTCTCCGGTAGCTGCGGATCATGGGACGGCTTTGGTTGGGAAGGACCTTAAGGATCGTCTCATCCCACCCCTTCCGTAGGCAGGGACACCTCCCACTAGCCCAGGTTGCTCCAACCTGGCCTCAGACACTTCCAGGGATCCAGGGGTAGCCAAGGCTTCTCTGGGCAACCTGTGCCAGGGCCTCTCCACCCTCACAACGAGGAATTCTTTCCCCCCTTTTTTCTTGAGGCCCTGGAAGGGGCTCTCAGGTCCCCCTGCAGCCTTTTCTTCTCCAGGTGAACCCCCCCGCCCCAGCTCTCCCAGCCTGTCCCAGAGCAGAGGGGCTCCAGCCCCGGACCCTCTGTAGGGGACAGCAGAGACCCCATCCCCACATACAGCCCCTCGCAGGCCTCCCAGAGCGTTCTGCCCCACCACCATCCCACTGTGGGGCACATGGGGAGGGCAAGTGCAGCCACCCACGAGGTCGCCCCCCCTCCCACCGCTCTCCCCCCGGGCCCCCACCACCCCCCTGGTCCCGGGGGTCTCGCCGCGGCCCCGGGGGTCCCTCACGCCTTCTTGATGTCGTCAGCGGTGGCCCCGCGGTCCAGCTCCAACACGGCGTAGTAGTCCAGGCCCATGGCGTCCCGTTGCTATGGCGACCGCGGCACTTCCTGGCCGAGCCGCGCGGGGCGCCATGGGAGTTGTAGTTCGCCCGCTCACTTCCGCACTCCGCCTCCCCCCCATCCCTCCCCTCCTCCCTTTTTTTCTTATAAACCTCCCAAATTTCCTCGGGAAATTCCTCTCTCCCACGCCGGCGTTATCAAAGCAGCCGCTTTATTTCATTCCATACCGTGACGCAGTCACTTTCAGCACCCCCCACACACTTTCAATCCACAACCAGCAAAGTTTACAGCTACTAAAATACAGCTCACACTTTGTGTATTTTCATTAAATAGCATCAAGGACGGAGGGTTCTGGAGGAGACAGACACCTCATCCCTGTTTAAAACATTTTCCAATTAGAACATTAGTTAAACTATACATCCAATTCATTTTTTTGTTTGCTTTTTGCTTATTTGTACCTTGCTAATTGGGTCACTATTCAAACAGATCCTTTACAAAAGGGACCTTGGGCGTGCCAATATAAAAGCCCTGGGTGAAGTAATGAAATGAATTATAACAGTGCTGAGGGTGTCAATTTTTTCTTCTTCTGCCTTCACCTGCTGTATAAGGAACACTAAACATTGTCCTGGTCAGCCATAGAATCATAAAAATTACAGAGAAAAAAAAGTACTATTAAGTCTACTTCCTGCCAAGATCAAATTATTCCTCCTTGTACCTTTTCTAATCCTCTCTGCAGTCGAGTTTTACTCCACTCAAATGTTCTGGCATCTTTTCCTCTCTGTAAAGAATTATTGCATCAGCTACTTAATCACACAGTCAGACAAGAGAGGTTTTCTCCTAGAAAGTAAATAAAAACCAGCAAAATACCCTATTAAAATACTGTGTGGCTCAGACACAGGAACACAGTTGGACCTCTGGAATATTTACCCTGACGCTGCAAAGAAATGAGCCTCTTGTCTGTTGTGACTTTATTCCTCCTTGTTAGGCCACCAAAACACTCTGGCCACCACAAGAGCCTCAAACTGTGCATCCACCTCCCAGGAAAATCAGCTTGGAAGAGCCATCCCGACACATTTTCCTCACTGTTTGGTCCCTTCAAACACTTAAAGGTCGGAAAGTTGGTATCTCCTCACTGTGCCATCTCTGCAGCAGGTGTAAATCTCCTTCTCCCAAGAAGCCACCTAGGGAAGAGGGGGAAAAAAAAAGGCAGTTTTTACACAGGAAGGGAAACTTCCATATAAAATCCTGCTTTTTCCCCTCAGGATCTTTCCAGGGTCCTTAATCCACACTTTTTACAGAAACACAGCCCTTCCAGAGCCACTCCAGCTCCACAGTTCTGCTACTGCACGACGGAGATGAAGCCAGGGAATACCACAGAGGATTTGTTTGTGCAAAATATTGGGAGTATTCAGGAGGAAAGACTAAAGATAAGCTCAAAAAGTCAGCTGTGTAAAGGAACCTGCTGAGGGAAAAGGCAGCTTTCCTTCTTCCAGGTTCTCTTCAGGGATACTCCGTATTCCTTACCTTGTACACGGGGTCGCAGTCGGCCTCGGTGAGATCCAGGACATAATCCAGGTCCTGCTGGAGGATGAAGCAGGTGCCATCCCCTGGAAGGGAGGAACATCAGCCAATTAGGGAAATGAGCTCTTAATTGCAGGCACAAATTCCATGGAGAAAAGGCTCCAACGGGTGAGATGCACCTTGGAGGCTCCGCTTTGGAGGGACACAAGGCAAAGGGGCAAGAGGACAATTCCCAAAGAGCACAGAGTTCCTCGATTCCATTCCAGGATTTCTCCCAGCACAGCACGGGAATTACCTTGGCTGGCAATGAATCCGTCTCGGTAGGGGAGCAGGGAAAGCACCGGCGCTCCCGATCTGTGGATGACCTGGATTGGAGCGCTGGAAAAAGGAGCAGAAACAAGGGATGAGAATTATTTCCCAGGGAAGCTGTGGCTGCCCCATCCCTGGAAGTGTCCAAGGCCGGGTTGGATGGGGCTTGGAGCAACCTGGGGTAGTGTCCCTGCCCACGGCAGCGGGGTGGAATGGGATGAGCTTTAAGGTCCCTTCCAACCCAAACCATTCCAGGATTCTCTTCAGGGAACACCAGTGAAACTCCCCAGCTCAGTTCCAGTCCTACACAGGAATCAGGATCCCACAAAGACATTCAGGTGAAGGAAAGGAAGGGGCTGTGCTTTTTTTTTGGGAGGGATGATACTGATGATATTGATGTTAAGAAGTTTTCTGCTCAATTCATCTACATTTACTGTGTACTGGGATTATATATATGTATAGATATATAAAATAGTACAGATATTTATATAACATGATATGCACAGTACACTGACATAACTAATAATTATATAACTATAATATTGAATAGAATTAATACAGTTAATATAATTAATAAACAATACAGAATGAACTGTAAAAATAATAAAATAAATATTGATAATGATATTTTTGTATTATATATAATATATATAATATATAATAATTATTATATAGTACACAGAATTCTTCTATAGAGAATATATATAGAATATATATAGAATATAAATTCATATACTATATTTATATATAGTATACACATTATATTATACAATTATAATTATTTATAATATAATGACATATGGTATTATTAATATTTTATATATTATTATAATTAATAATCACATAGGTATTAAAATAGCAATCATCTGCAAGGTAAGGCTATGCCAAGAGGACCCTTGGTCATGGATCAAGATGGAAAAGCTTTTCAGAAACCAAGGAATCTGCCTGGAGCCTGTAGTCTTTTAGGAGGCACCACGAAATCACCCACCTGAGCAGCAGGAACCCCTGCAATGCTTCCCAAGAGACAGAACTGGCTGCCAGAGGCTCCGCAGCTCCTGGTGCCTTGGGATGCACCCCTTGGAAGTGGCAGTGCCTGCCAGCCCCCTCCACCCAGCTCTTTTCCCACCAACCCCTGGCTGTTTAAAGCCTTGCAGCCCCAGGCACTGGCTCACCTTGTGTTCCTCACATCCAGCTGGTAGATGTTCCCATCCTGAGTCCCTGCCAGGATACAGGTGCTCGACAGGAACGTGCAGCAGTTGAAGGCGTCAGAGCCCACGAAGAGGAACACCTGGAAATTTGGGACCAAACCGAGTGGGGACCTCAGTGGGAGGTGGAGCTGGGACAACACTGACCAGTTTACCTGCCTAGGTTTATCCTGGCTCAATCCCTCATCCCAGGAATGCTCTGGCAATCCCAGATCCTTACCGGCTGCCTGCTCTGCAGTCCCACTCCCTGAAGCTTCTTGTCCTCCCGGGCCAGCAGCAGGATTTTCCCTTCTGTCCCGATCTCACGCTCGCCTGGCAAAAGGACAACACATCATTCCAGAAGCAGATCCTGACGGGATCCAAATCCTGAGAGTTTGGATCACTCCTGCTGAACAGGGACAGGGAAGTGCAGGGGAATTTTCAGAGGAAGAGCCTTACTGGGAGGGTGCTCGGGCGTGCCCAGGTTCAGGGAGTCATCGGCAGCGCCCGCGGCGATGCCGTTCACGGGGCAGCCACAGTCGGCAATGATGCCCAGACAGGCGGATTTCCCGCAGTCCCAGAGCCGGGCAGTGCCATCCCTGGAGCAGGACAGGACATTCCTGCCCCGATCCACAATGGCAGTGTCCAAAATCCCTGCATGGAAGCAAAGGCCGTGTTCAGGCACACACACACACAACAAGCCCCTCATTTCCCAAGCTGAACACGACGCCCCAACCTCCCCCTGTTCCCAGTGACACCACTCACACACAGGCAGGGTGTGCCTCAAGGAAAAGGGGCCTGTGGAAGGAAGCAGCTCCCAGAAAACTTTTCAAAGTGGGAGCCACCACTTAGCACAAAGGGAAGATGTTTTCCATCAAATGATCAGCAACACCTCACTGAGCTGAGCTGAGACCGCACAAAATTAATTTGGGCAGAAAACAGCCTGGCCTAGCACTCACAAATGTTCCCAAGTTTGTCCCTGGATAATCCCAAAAGCAGCATCCCTCTTATCCAGCTACAGCAACACCCAAAGAGCATCTTCTGCAAGTCCTAAGATCCCTTAAACTACTTTATTTTATGGAGGGCTGTCAAATCCGGATGTGAAAAATGACACAGAGGTCTTTTAGCAGGGAACAGTCAGATGGTCAGGAGAATTTGACACTTTCCCTGCAGAAACAGCCACTAAACACGACAAGGATAAGCCAAGCAGAGTGACTGCAGCAGTTTGGGCTGGAGGCATAGGCAGGGAATAAAAAGCTCCTGGAAGCAGGATGGAGCTCTGGAGAGCTGAGACTGCCCTGGAGGAGCAGAATTCCTGTGCTTCCACCTCTGGAGCAACAGGCTGCTGTATTGCACCCTCCCTCTTTTCAAATTAATTAATGAAGCAAAACCAGGCTGGACAGAGAAACAAGTTTCTTCTACTACTACACACAACTCCCAACCTTTTCATTCAAGTTCTGGGAGCTTAAAAAAGGTACTAGTGACTGCACATCAGCCCTGGGGTGCAAGGCAAGTTCACACCCAGCAGATGAAGCATTTTAAAGGCTCTGTACCTCCTTTGTGACCTTTAAATGTCACTACACAGCTGGCATCCTCTGCTGACCAGATCTTGAGCTGGGCATCCATTCCCCCACTCAGGACCACGAGGCCAGATGGGAAAAACCTGCAACAATTCACATCATACACATGGCCTTCCAACAGCCTCTGGAAAAACAAAGAACTGCGTGCTAGTTCCATTGTCATCACCTTCATGCCAAGCAATCTTGGAGCTGTGACACTGGGAAATGTGGAATTCTCACGGGGGCAAGAGCGTTAAGCTCAAATCCCTCGGGGTTTGTGTTGCTGGAATGGGCTTGTCTGAATTTGAGGTGGAGAGGTGACACTTTGGGCTTCCCTCTACCACTTGAGCAGCTAATTAGGTAGCAAAGGACACTAAACTGGCTTCTAATTACAGGTTAAATGTCTTTATCCTCTGTCAAACAAGGAGCTGAAGCTCAAGCTCCACAAGAAGCACCTTCACTGGGCGGGCAGATAAGGCAGGGTGTGGTTAATCCAGCAGAGAAACATGTTTTAATAATTTCTTTTTTAATAGTCTTCTTTTACGGCTTCTTTAATCATCTATAATCTTCTCTAATTATTTTTTTTTTTTTTATAATCTGCTCTACTGCAGAACAAATTCAGTGCTTGCACCACACCTGCTGCACTCTCCCTGCGATTCCTAAGCCATTCCATTTTTGCCCTGGGACTCTGGATTGCTGAGCAACATTTCCCCCCGGGAGAAGACAACCCCTCCCAACAGATTGGACTGAAAGCCTCCAAGATGGCAAATCTCAATCAGCTTTTCATTCAAAAAGCCAGATTTTTTTCCCCTGGGATCGAACAGCCTGACCAAAGTCAGGGCCCAAAGGACCTCAGGAATGTCCCACCCAACACAAAACATCAAATCCAGCTGCTCTTACTCTTATTTCTCCGTTGGCAGCCTGCCAGATTTTCATGGTCCCATCTGTGCTGGTGGACACACCGAGTCCTCCACCGCTGGAAATGTCAAGGCAGGTGATCTGCAGGAGGGGAAAAGCACCAAAAATTAGCTTTATAGAGACATTTCTGGCCAAGAGCCTAATTCTGTACTGGGATAGACGTGCTAAGTACATCATTGTACAGCTCTGGGTGATCAAAATACAAAGTGATGACAAAAGGTTGTAGCCTTAGTTGCTTACTAGAGCTAATTTTTAGATAGAATTAGGATAGGGCCTCGCTTGCTTATGCTAACTCACAGACAGTACACAGTTAATTTTATCCTGAGGACTCTGGAAGGAACAGAAAACCTCGGAGTTTTGATAAGGAGTTTCGAGGCTTAGAAGAGAGACCTTGAAGGTTGATAGAGAGGGGCTCCAGGAGGAAGAGGCACGATGAAACCGGTTTGGAGGTGATTGGCCAACCTTAAGGATTGAGTGATTCCGGTAATTGCATTTGCACTGCGGTTTTCCAATTGCATTTGCAGTCTGTGCATTGGGGGGAAAACGCTGCAGGGGTGAAATCTTTGGCAGGAACAAGAAATGCGGATCGACTCCGGGAAGGGAAGGTTCCAGCCAGACAGGGTTAACTTTTCCAGCGGCAGGAGGGGCAGGGCCAGGACTGGATGCGATCCCGCCCCTCCACGCGCGGGCAGGACAAAGAGGAGTCGCGTTTTCCCGAGTTTCCTCCTTCCCGGCCGCATCCCGCGTGGTTCGCTCCTCGTTCCATCCAGGGCTCTTCCCAGTGAGTTGTTCTTATCTCAACCCCCGTCCGTCCTTTGCCTTTTGTGCCTCCAATTCCCCGCTCCAGCCACTGGCTGGAATCCGGGAATTCCATCCCTAAACCACCCCAGCCTAATTCGGGGGCAGGAAGGGTCGGAATAGAACAGACCTGCCCGCACCGGGTCGGGGACGATTCGGATCCGAGCACTGGCTCTATTAGGAACTGGCAATGGATGCAGGGTGGCTGCACCTCTTCCTGTGGGTTATGCTCTTTAGCCCTTATTACAAACACCCCTTTGAGCCCATCCTGAAGTTTTATCCCAGGGCAAAGAAAGGACTCAGCGCCGTTTTGGTGCTGTGCATTGCGATAGTCATTTGTGACGTGACTCTCCACGTCCACCAGTCCAATAACAATCCTGTCCAGCCCGCGGGGAGAACAGGGAAGGGTTATTTTCTCCGGCTTTTCCACCGCGGTTACTCCTTCAGGACGCGCACGAGAGCTTTTGAAATGCCTTTCAGCGTCATGCAAAGCATCCTCGTCTTGCTGTACCTGCCCAGTTTCCTCGGCACGCTCTACAACGCGCTCAGAGCCGTGGTCAGCAACGTGTTTAGGGAGATAAGGGGAGTTTTTAGCAGGGCCTTCCAGGCACTTGTCCCCACGGGGCATAATCAGGAGTGGCAGGGAAGGTGGGAGAAAATCGGCCAGCTTTTGGAGGACTGTTTTCCTGCAGTGCTTTGGAAGTTCACCCCTGAACAACTACAGGACCCTGATAAAATGGCAGAACACTTGAGAGAAAAATGCCGTGGCAATTCCAGAGAGGAGCGACTCGTTGCCCTGTGCTGGGCCCTGGCCAGCGCTTACCGGGCCCTGCTGGATGCCAGGCAGCTCCCCCGCGGGGAAGGGAAGACAACAATCAGCGCGGCCACTCAGACTGCAGCTGGAGCCCTGCCGGGAGCAGCGGTGCCCATCCCGAAGAAATCCAAGAGCAAATCAGCGGCCACTCAGACTGATGAACCCCTGCTGGGAGCACTGGTCCCTGCACAGAAGAAATCCAAGGGCAAATCAGGCCTCCTAGCGAGGGATGAAGAGGAAACGGAGTCCTCAGAAGAAGAGGAGGCGGGGGCAGCGCTGACCCTGCAGTGCCCGTGCCTGGGGAAGCTGCGGCACGTCCGGAAGTATTTCCAGCGCCAGCTGAACGAGTCGGTGCTGGCCTGGCTGGCCCGGTGCTGGGACTTCGGGGCACAGGATATCACGCTGGACGGCAGGGAAGCCAGGAATCTGGGGTGCCTGGCCTGGAAAGCGCACATCGACAAGGGGATTGGGAAGAGGGCAGAACCCCTCAGCCTGTGGAAGAGGCTCCTGTCCAGCGTGAAGGAGCTGTATCCTGCCAAGAACCATCTGTTTGTGCCCAGGGACGTGTGGTGGAACCTGCAGGAAGGCGTCCAGTACCTGAGGGAACTGGCTGTGCTGCAGGTGCTCTACGACAAGAGCGGGAGGGAGGAGTTCCCCCTGGATCCGGGGAAAGCCTTCTGTACGTTCCACACGTGGCACTGTCTCCGAGAGAGCGCTCCATCCCGTTACTCCGGGGCGTTCACGGCCATCGGATGGAGCGCGCGGCTCACGGTGAACAGACTGGCCGCCCGGCTCTGCCAGTACCACCAAGAGCTCTCTCGCCTCGCGGGGGTGAAGTTCTTGCCCTTGAAAACCTTGTTCAGGAACCGGGATTGCTGTCCCTGCAGAGCATGCTATGAGATGCTGGGCAAAGACGTGTGCGAGCTGCAGTGTGGGCACGAATTCCACAGGAAATGCGTGGAAACGGCGGTCCTGCAGATTTCTGGCGTCTGCCCCGTGTGCCGCAGCCCCGCTCTCCTTGCTGCAGACATCCTCAAGCTTCCAAGGTGGAAGAGCTGAGCGCACTCAAAGCCAAGGTCTGGATGAAATGAGGGTTTTAGAAGAGCTCCCCGGAGAGAAGTGTTGGAAGAGAGCGGGCTCTTAAAGAATGGACTGGATTGGGTTCGTAAGGCTCAGAAATCCAGTGAAAAAATGGGGATGAGACCCATGTTTGTGTGTGTAGATGTAGCTGGGAGGAGTAGGATCTGGGCACGGTGTAGATGGGGTACAATAAGGGGTGGGGATGTCCTGGTTCTGCTGAGGACAGGGTTCAATTTTACAGGGATCCCGGGGATATTCGGGTGGCACATGCCAGCGTTCCCATGTGGATTGTTCCCTGGCCTGTACACTGTTAATTGGCATTTTTGCTTCTGTTAGTTTCTTTATTCCACTGCTGTTCCCAGTAAATTGTTCATTGTTCTTATCTAAATCCCTGATCTTCTCCATCCACTGGGAACACTAAATTGGGGAATACCCTTCCTAAACCATGACAGGATCACAGTTCCGTGTCCACTCCAACCCCACACACACCAATCCACGCTCCAGGTCCCACCCCCAGCACGAGGACACCATGGTCAGGGATGTGTTGTGAAGAATTCCCAGTCACCTCCAGGGATTCCCCTCCCTCCTCACAGGATACTCACACTTTTCTGATGAATCCTGGAAAAAGTTGTGTATGGGGCCAGGAACTTTGTGGACACATTTTCGTGAGGACAAGAAATAAGGATGCTTTTCTAAGGGAGGAAAGAAAGGGGGAAAAAACAGGAATTAGAGGTGATGTTGGTCCTGCTGAGAAAGAGCAGTGACCTGGAGCCAGCTGTGGGATCCCAGAGCCTGGAAACTGATGGAAAGGTCAGTGCTGGTCTCCCAAGGATGCAGGTGGGAAGGAACACACAGCCCCATCCCTGTGGGATGTGCCGGAGCAGCTCCAGGGCTGTGCCCAGCGGGAGGCTGGGATGGCTGCACAGGATCCTGCAGGGTGGCAGCTTTGGGCTGACAGAGTGTCCCTCCCTTTGTGTCACCCCCCCGCCCCCGGCACCTTGGTGACTTCCTGGACCAGGAATCCCTCGGAGGCTGTGATGTCTGGGATGCCCTCGGAGCTGAGCCCGCGGCGGGTGACGCTGCCATAAAGGGTGGGCTTCCCTGGGGGAAAAGGGGCAGCCCTGAGACCCCACAGTACAGAGACCCCCACGGCACAGAGACCCTCAGCACACCCACCATGACCCACAGGGACCCAAACACCCCAAGCCACTCCCAAACCACAGGGACCCCAAAACTCCCCCAGCCCCTCCTAATCCACACGGACCTCAAATACCCCCAGCCCTTCCTAAGCCACAGGGACCCCAAACAACTGCAACCCCTCCCACCCCACACAGACCCCAAACACCACCAAGCCCTCCTAATTCAGGGGGATTGCCCCATAATCCCCCTCTTAACCCATGGGGACCCAAAACCAACCCCATTAATGACAGGA